CGCTGCCCTCCCTTCCCCGCCAGGCCCCTTCTCTCCGTTTCTTTTGCAACCTCTGATATGTATACATTATGCAGAATTCCAGATGTTGATAGACATTGGGATAAATAATGAGAGAAAAAAAGAAAAAAAAAAAACGCAAAAAACTAAACTTTTCCCCAAAGTCATAAGGCTCTAGTTTTTGATTTGGGGAGAAATCAGCTCATTTAATGGCTTGTAAATGTGATCTTATAAAATTAGGTAATTTAGGAAGGTTTTTATCATTATCATCATTATATTAATTTTTCTTTAGTAGTCATGATTTTATTATTGCTCTGGTAGTCTATGCAGCCACTGGGTCCAGGAATTCCAAAGAGGAGCTCTGAAAGATGTGAAAATCTTCAAGAGTCAAAGGAATGAAGCTATTTGCTGGGCTCCGCAGATAACAAGAAGGCATGATCATCATCGTCATCATCATCATCATCATCACCATTAGGTGGTGCCACCTCCCAGATTCTACAACTCCCATAGCCAGCTGGGAGAGCTGACAATAGCTACTGTCTCTCTGCAAGCCATCAGTATAAAACTCTTTTCTGGAGTGAACATAAACATTTGATGATTTTACTGAGAAAACAGAAGACATTCCTGCCCTACCCGCAGTCCCACAACACACCCCCCCTTTGCCTCACAATAAATATACTTCGTGCATGGAAGAAGAAAGGGAGGAACACGTTTATTCTAGACTAATCTGAAGTTCACTACAGATGGTTTGGCTAATTCAGTTAAAATTAAATTCTTTTCTTTACCTATTCTGTCCCCTTCACACATGGGAATTGTTTTTTGGAGTTAAATTCCTTTATAAAGTTCCTATTGTATGACTGGGAGTAATTTCTTGACAGTGGGTGAAGATGCTACATCTGTAGTTGTTCAAACAGGTGGAGGCACTTAGAGTAAGGATCCAAAGATTGCCAATTAGGTTGGCCTGTGGTCCACAAGCCAGGAAGGGATTTGAGGTCTTGAGGATCTGCTACGCCTCAGGGTAGTGGTGTTTTTTGTTTGTTTGTTTGTTTTGCGCTACGCGGGCCTCTCACTGTTGAGGCCTCTCCCCGTTGCGGAGCACAGGCTCCGGACGCGCAGGCTCAGCGGCCATGGCTCACTGGCCCAGCTGCTCCGCGGCACGTGGGGTCCTCCCTGGCCGGGGCACGAACCCGTGTCCCCTGAGTCAGCAGGTGGACTCTCAACCACTGCGCCACCAGGGAAGCCCAGGGTAGTGGTTTTTGAAGTATATTGCTTCTGTAGAAGCATAAGCTTCAACTTCTACTTTGAAAAACTTTGAAGCCATTTAAAAGTAATAAAAACATTCATGTTTAAATGTGCTAGGCACCAAATTTTAACACGTTGGAGACCCCCTGGACTAGATTTTGAAATAAACCTCTTGCTGTTTCTGTTTAACAGGAGACTGTTCTGAGGTCACAGCGTGAGCTGTTAAAACCATTTTGCAACAACTTCTCTGTGTGAATTAGACCTTTTTCGGTACTGTGCAACCAAAACAAAAGATGGAAACAAACTGGTTGCTGAGGCTGATACGGGAGGGCAACTGTTAATCTCTAATCGCTGATTTCAAATTTTTGTGTGCATCATTAGAACCTTATAGTAACTTAAAACTGTTTTAATGTGTATTATATAATGGGGCTCCCCCTTAAGAATTCAACTGAGGAAAGGGTACCTCTCCTAAAAAAAAAAAAAAATGAAAACCATTGCTTCAGATTATGTTGCAGAATTTCTGGTGCCAAAAGTGTCCTCAGAATAAATCCAGAGACCAGCTCTCTCATAGTGGCCAGTTGTGGATTTTGCCCTCCAGTAACTGTATCTTTGGTTTTTTAAAATTGGAGAATTACCCCTCCCACATTATGAACAGACTCTGTGGGACTGTCTATCAAGATGGGCCACCCTTTCCTGGGTACCACTTCAGGTCAATCAGATTCCCTCTCTTGGGAATTTGAATTATGAATGGTCCTATGCAAGAACTGAAGTGGTTGGAGGTGACTTATCCCATAGCTTTGCCCTGAAAACGCTGTCCATTGGTTTCTTTGGCCTGGCTCCTTTCACATCCCTCAGGGACCTATCCTTTCTGAGGCCTGTTGTATGGCTTTTCCTTCGATTCTTTGAGGTCTCCAGACCTCTCCAGTAGACTACTGCCCCCCTTTATTTGTTTCTTAGGCTAGCCAGAATCGTTTCTGTTGTTTGCAACCAAAACATTCTGACTGATTTGCTCCGAATTTTGCAAATGGGGAAATGGTAGTAGCATCAAGAGGTCAGTGACTTCTTCAAGGCCACACTGAGAACTTTGGCACAAGTGTAAGGCCATGCTCTACAGGAAGAAATGATCCTAAATCAATATCCACAAAAGTAGAATATATCTAGGACAGAATTCACCTTTGCACTTCGTGTGTGTATGGGAAATGGGGGAGAGAAATATGAATAATGGTGTGGGAAATAGGGTGTGTGTGTCCCAGATCTTCACAACTCTGAGTCACAGATGTATTTCAATTCTGGTCACTCAGGCAGGATTTTGCAGAGACCCAGAACCATTCTCTCAGGACCCTAAGGCTTGAGGAGGAATTCTGGATGAATCTTAGGCTCTCAAGCTGAAGGGGAACTTGGGCAGATAAATACCTAACCAGGGATCTGAGTCAACAGAAGTAAGAACTGAGAGTCTGAGGGAACAGACCAAACATGCTAACAATGGTTCTAACCTTCAACAAGGGCTGGTGGCCATGGTCCACTGGACCATGAGCTCTGTAAGGAGAGGATTGGACTTGTTCACCACAGTATTCACAGCACCTGGCACAATGCCTGGCACCTAGTACATGCTCAATACACATTTGCTGAATGAGTGAATGGGTTGGGCCTCCATGCGGTTGTTTGGATTCAGCAGCCTAGTGGTTTTGTCACTAATGGACTGGGTCTTTGGCTTTGCATCTCTGGCCTCACTCATAGGGGGCCAAATGGTGCCTGGTAGGTGAGCAATGTCTGGAAAACAGGAGCAGCAGCTGCAGTATTCCCAATATTCTAATTACTGATGACATTTACTCAGCAGCAGCTGTGGTACAAAGGAACAAAAGGTTATTGCCCTGTGGGCATGCAGCCAAAATGACAGAAAACAAAAACAAGCAACTGGTAGCTTTTCTCTGTCTGTGTGTGTATGTTGCTTGTTGTGTTAAGGTATAAGAAGCAACACTAGTTCAGATTTATAACAAGAACAGCAAGAGTGATTATATCCCATTTTACAGACAAGTAAATAGAAGCCCAGAGAAACACAGACTTTCCCAATGTGCAGAATCGTGTCCCCAGCCTAGCCTGGAGCACCCATCTTTTTGTGTGTGTGCTCCATCTAGGTGGCTTGAGCTCTGTCCGGTCCAGGGTCTGATGTTTGCCTCCTCCATTCCATACTGGTTATGTCACTGCAGGCACAACAAGGGTCTCCAGTTGAGAAAGGTCCTTGGAAAGGAGGGAGTTTTAAAACATTTGAAAGAGGGAAGATTGTAAGTTGACAAGTGCGTCAGGGGAGGTGGCCCCATCTGTGCTGACCCCGGAGCCCCACTGTCCTCACCTCCAAGGACCGAGATACATGGTGGTTACCAGGGCTGAGGCAACTGCTCCGCATTATTCTGTCACATAGCCTCTTTCTAGACTCTTTCTCATGTACAGACAGGCCTTGTTAGTATTATTAAAAAAAAATTATCTTCTTACATCACCATCGTTTGCAGTTTCTTCTTTCTTATAGTGATTCCTTGGGGAAGAGCTCCAGCTCTGGGAGACGCTGACAGGTAAAACCTCAGCTTTTTTACTGGCAGGGATGCCCTCAGCCAAGCAGGGCAAGTAGGTGATGTCATTTAGAACCCTTTCCTCTCAAGGTGCTGGGAGTTTTCATGTGACTGTGCCCACACAGACCCTCTTCCTACCTTTACCACCTCTCTCCCCAAAACAGTACCTCCCAGGGTCCTTCCAGAGATAAAATGCTGCATTTCAGTTTCCCACAGACTCAGAATCTCTTAGAATCTCAGGCAACAGTTTGGAACACTTAGGAGACAGGCCCCTGATAATCCAGGACAAAAGTTGCTGCCTACTCACCACGCCCAGGCCCACTGCCTCCTTCCTGGCTGACCGAGACCGGGCAGGGAGTGAGGAAGGATTCCTGAACACATGTTTCCTACTTGGGAGAGCCCAAACTCTAGGCTTTCAGAATTAAAAATGGCTAGGGACCAATGATCAGTGTTCATTTAGCCTGGGAGTGGGAAAACTCAATCAGATTCTCTTTCTAGGGCATTTGAATTATGCATGGTCCCATGCAAGAACTGAAGCTGTTGGAGGTGACTTATCCCATCGTCTTGCCCTGAAAACATTGCCCATTGTTTACTTTGACCTGGCTCCTTTCACATCCCTCAGAGTCCTATCCTTTCTGAGGCTTGTTGTATGGCTTTTCCTTTGATTCTTTGAGGTCCTCAGACCTCTCCAGTAGACTACCGCCCTCCTTTATTTGTCTCTTAGGCTAGCCATTTTGGGGGAGCCTCCTAAGGCTCTAGGGTCCTCAGGCCAGAGCAATGCCCAGTCACAATCAGCCACCCCAGTTTGTATCCGCAGACCCCTTAGGACAGACAGCCCAGTGAGACTGTGTATGGAGTTGTAGCCTTTCTTGTTTTGGGGGCGCTGAGCGGAGCTTCTTAGAAGGGGGAAAGGGTGAAACACGAAAGGTAGTTCCTTAATGGTTCCTTTCTGCCTCCCTGGTTTTGGAGGCAGCTTCGGGTGTTCCCAGGCTTAAGGGAAGGGGGCAGCATTGTCTCTGGCGGCCACACCCAGCGATGGGCTTACCAGGAGGGCAGCCTCAGGGCCAGGTAACCAGGTTTCCCCAGGACCAGGAGAGAGCAAGTGCGCAGCCCGCGGAACTTCTGCGGTGAAGGGGACTCGGCGAAGGGAAAAGGATCTTTCGGGTTCTTTAAAGAAACAGCCACACACCTTTCATTAGCCTATATGTATTTGGATTTTAGCCCAACCCAAGCCAAGTCTCCTTGAAGCCCCGCCTCCTGAAAGCTCCGCCCAACGTCAGTAGCCACGCCCACTCCCTGTTCTAGGAAGCCACACCTACTAGAGATCGCCCGCCCCAGAAGGGCCCGTCCGGGGAACCCCGCCCCGGGGGGCCCCGCCCCTGGAAGCCCCGCCCCACCCCCGCCCACCACCCAGAGGCGCGCTCAGCAGGTGGGGTTGAGCACGCGGCAGGAACAGGCGCTGCGGAAGAAGCGGCACTGGCAGAAGGCGCACGGGTCGCAGCAGGCGGGCGCCGGCGGCTTGCAGCTGTCGCGGGTGGCCACGCAGGTGCCAGGCGGCGGGGGCCGGGGCTGTGCCACCTTCTTCATCGAAGCCTTTTTCTGCGGGGAAACGCCGGGGCTGCCCGAGCAGTCCACGTCCGCCCCACTCGTCCTCACCTCTGCCTGGGGACTCCTTGGACTATGAAGGCCCCCGACCAGACATCCCCACCTTCTGCCCACCGCCCGCTCGACTGATGCCCACAGGGCACCCCAGCGGGTCCCCGCCTGCTCCCCCAACAGTGCCCCACTTCATCAAAACTTAACTGGCTCCGGCCTGGCCTCTTCTCTCCCTAGGGCATCCCACTCAGCTCCACCGTTTTTAACTACCGTCTCTGTTGTCTTCCCCTTCCAGTGTAGCCACAATCCCTGTCAGTTCTGCCTTCACAATAGATCTGGAGTCTACCCACTGCTTCACTACCGCTGCTACCCTGGGCTAGGCCCCTGTCTGCGGCTCTTGCCCCCTTACAGTCCAACCTCCAGTGCACAAAAGGGACCTCTCAGAAGACCTATGATGGCATCACACTCGGGCTTAAAGCACACCCTCCTCCCCCTTACTCTGGTCCTTGAGGCCCTCTGTGGTTTGGCCCGCCCACCTCTCCCACCGGTCTTTACCACACTGCCTTCTGTGCACCGAACACAAGAAATGAGTTCCTACTGCAGGAGCTTTGAGTTTGCTACTCCCTTTTCTGGGGACATTCTTTGCTGTGCTGTCCAATACAGGCAGCCACCAGTCAGCCATATGTGGCTGCTGAGTACCTGAAATGTGTCTAGTGCAATTGAGGAACTGAGTTTTCAAAAAACAAGGTTTTATTTTCATTTTACTTATTTTTAGGGTTATTTTCTATTTATGTCAAGTGATACTGGTTTTCTACATTGGTTATGTAGGTTTTTAAATAACTATATAACCATGATAGAAAAGTTTTAAAATTAAAGTTTTAATTTTAAACAAATATATTAAATAGGTGAAACTCAGATATGGTAAAAGTTGTGGAAATGGTTCTGAAATGACTGAGGTTTGGGAAACATTGCATTCATCCAAAAGAATGAGTGATGGTGAAATTTCAGGCAGGGTGTGAGCTAGTATAGGAAGATGCTTTTTAGCAGGTAAGCTATTTTGCTCAGTGAACCTTAGCTTTCTGGGCTTCAGCTCCTGGGGGTCTGGTTCAGGGCTTGAGGCCAGGTAGTTTTGGTAGCTTTCAGTTTCTTGTGGGCATGTAGGCCTGGGAAATCTTTTATTTAGTTCTTAGCCAGAGCTTGGGGATCCTCTCCCTTTAAGTCCAGTCCCACCCCAACAATGTGAGCTCCCAGGCCTACCTTGGAAGATCTTTTCTTTTTTTCCGCTTCTTTTCTGCTGATCTTTTTGGATTTCTTGTTCTGTGCTTCAAAGAGAGAAGGAGCAAAGCCAGTCTCTGAGGGCCCTGAGCTGCAATGAAGGGGGAGGAGCAGAGGGGGCTCCAGGAAGCCCCAGGGTAGGGGAGAAGATGAAGGGTTGGCTGGATAGATCACATCTTGGGACTTAGGCCAGCAGGTTCTTGTTAGCCTGGCTGCAGACCTGGAGACAGAGACTGAGAGCAGAGTCCTCTGAGGGAAAGCAAAGGTGGCCCTGGAAAATGGACTCAGTGTCTTGTACATGGATGGACTTGTTTTTCCTGTATCCCTATTTTCCATTTCTCAGAGCTTTGGAGCCAGGCATACCTGATTTGAATCCTGACTCTGTGATATAATAGCTTTGTGGCCTTGAGCAACCTACTTAATCTCCTTAAGACTCAGTTTTCTCATCTGCAAGTAGGATACTGTAATACCTACCTTGAAGAGTTGTCTTGAGGATAAATGAGGTATGTTTATAAAGCAGAAATCTGACACATTGAAGGTGATCAGTCAATGTTAATGTGCCCCAGTCCCTTCCCTGATATACCTAGAATATCCTCTTTTTGAAGTGAGAGACAAGTCAGCAAGGAATATTAGTTTTGAGCTTAGGTTCTGGAGTTAAACACCTGGGTTTGAATTCTGGCTCTGCCAATTAAGAACTGTGTGTTAGTTACTTAACTTTTCTAAGACTTAATTTACTTAGCTGTTAAATAAAATAGGAATAAAAATAATACTCACTTCACAGTGCCTAGCACAAAATAAGTATATATGTTATTATTATTATTGTCAGATGAAGTCGAGCCAGAAGATCTCCATGCCAGGTTCTAATGCCCATGATATTTTCTCCCAAGCAGTCATTTTCAATTCTCAACCCTGGCATGAAAGGACTAGTTCATCCCAGACTTGGTTATATTCTGCAGCATTTCCTAAAATTTTTACCATTGATAGGAGTTCCGTGACTCATTAAGTTTCAGAAATGTTAAGTTAAACCAAATTCACCAATTGTCATGACTTTAAGGTTTCTCAGAGCCTCTAACATGCTAAGCTGCATATTCGATTGGTGGCAGGCAGGGCTTTCCTAAACCAAATGAGTTAAGGGGCACTTTATTCCTCCAGGACTGTTTTGAGGAATGAGCATGAAGGAGCTCTGACCTATGGCAGTGGATCCTGGTATCAGCTTGGGGAGTGTGTTTGACATCCTGCAGTTCTCTTGGGCCACAGCCTGGAGGCTGGGCCCCAGGCTAGGCTACCTACCCACAATAGAGACAGAAGGGAAATCCAACAGGTTCATGGAAGAGTTGCTCCTTAGGCTCCTTTCATCTCTGGGCTTTTCCTCAGGTGCCAGGTGGCTGTAGGCAGTGAGGAAGCACAGGCAGACCAGCAGGGTAGCCAGGAGGAGGCGTGTGACATCCATTCCGGGAGGCCTGAGTGGGACAGAGAAGGCAATCAGGTGGGCCAGGGGTCCTGGCAAATGGATGTGCCCTCCTGCTTTCTTTGGGCTGGTGCTCTGACCCCATTCCACACCCCAGTGTCCCAGGGGAGTTGGAGGACCAGCAAGGCTTAGGACAGGGAAGGGGAACTGATGAAGGAAGAAGAGAGAAAAGGAGAGATGGGAGAGGAAGAAAGAAAGACAAGAAAGGGAGGGAGGGATTTCCCTGGGGGTGCAGTGGTTAAGAACCTGCCTGCCAATGCAGGGGACATGGGTTCGAGCCCTGGTCCGGGAACATCCCACATGCTGTGGAGCAACTAAGCCCGTGAGCCACAACTACTGAGCCCGTGAGCCACAACTACTGAAGCCTGCATGCCTAGAGCCCGTGCTCCGCAACAAGAGAAGCCACCACAACGAGAAGGCCATGCACAGCAATGAAGAGTAGCTCCCACTTGCCCCAACTAGAGAAAGCCCGTGCGCAGCAATGAAGACCCAACACAGCCATAAATAAATAAATAAATTTATTATTTTTTTAAAAAAAGGGAGGGAGATTGAAGTAAGCAGAAAAGGAATGCATTGCAATTGGTCTCTGCCTTCCAGAGGGTGGGGTGCTGGGGTTTTTTTAAGTCAGTGGCCCCAGGAGACCCTAGGCTTGGGCAGAGTTGTTGAAAGGTCCCCAGTAATGCCTCACAGTGGTAGAGGTCTTACTGAAGTGCAGAGAATAAGGCTCATGAGTTAAGACTGAACGAGACGGTGTAGGGATAAATGGCTTTTTTGGACAAGTGTGTAAGTCATTGCATATGCTATATTCCGACATCCAGAGGAAATAAATGCAGATATGGTTTGCGTCGAGAGGATAGAATGGACCTGTTCAAATAGGCTAACTATATTTATTGATTTATTGCTAGCTGGATTTTGATGAACCAGACAGATCCCAGAGCGGAGTTCTTCCCATGAATGTCTAGGTTTGGCTTAGTGAGGGTTCACAGCTTCAACAGCATCTTCATCTTCTCTGAGTGTGGAATCCCCACTCCTTACCCACCCTGTGCATGTTCTTTCTGGTCTGGGAAAAAGCTGAGACTGCTTTCCCAAGGTTCTCTGGCCCTGCCATAGGCATAGTGGGTGAGAAGACAATAAAGCAATCTGCTCATGCTGGTCCTGCCCATTCCTGGGCTCAGCCTGGCAATTTCTAGCCTATTCCTCCCAGCCCTCAGATTGCTAAGAGTAAAATTTTCTCCATTTCTGTTACATTCCAGGAGAAGGAGGACCCAAATAGCCAGCCCCCAACCTCATTCTAAACTTCTTAAAGGTAGAGGGGACAGTCCTTTCCTTTTGAAGTTCATCCTCAACCTCTCTCAGCCCTAACTCCATTTCTTCTGATTCCTTCAGATCCTTTCATCAATGGGCATTTATTTGCCTATCATGAACTGGCCACCAATTTTCTTTCTCAAAGCCTGGTAGTGAGTCAACAGAATGAGCACTGGGCTCGGAGTCAGGACCTCTGAGTTCTTATCTTGACTTAAGCATTAGTAAATGCGTGACTTTGGACAAATCCATTCTTTTTTTCTTTTTAATGGACTCTAATTTTCTTTTTGGTAAAATGTGGGCTAGGTGAGTGGTTTGCATTCATTTAGCAGGGGAGCTCTTTCTTCAAATAAACAATGACTTGAAGAATCCCAATGTATAAAACAGAAAGAGGCAATACAGAGGTTTTTCAAGCAGCTCACATCTTTTTTGTGTGGTGAGACAATACATCTCCTCAGGCCCTAGAGCCCAAAACATTTTTTGAGGCCCTAAATTTCCCAGCTCCATGCAGTTCCATCTCAGAGGTTTCTAGTCCCTATCAGCAATAGTTAACCCAAACAAACCTTTATCAGGAAAGTCTGGGGATTGAGGCATAGTAATTTGCTCCATTCTCTGCTTCTCAGAACTTTGTACTGTTCTCTGTCAAATACTTTATCACATTGTTTATGTGTTTGTCTCTCCCACTTGATAAAAAATAGGTCATGTTTTATTCATTTCTATGACCATGAACCTGGCACAGTGACCAGCCCCAAGCAGTAACTTGGACCTCTCTTCCTAGCAGGACTCCCTCTCTCTTTCTCTAATGATGCTGCTGGGCTCTCAGCTTAGAGAGCAATTTCTCCTTCTCTCTTGTTGCCAACACCCAGTCAATCAGTCATTAAGTTCTAGTGATTTTCACTCCCCCCAATTCTAACAACCCTCCCTCCCTTTCCATTCCTTCTGTCCGTGCAGCCTAGTTCCTCCCACTTGGTCTTCCATAAGAGCCTCCTCACTGGCCTCCTTGACTCTAGAACATATAACCAGACTAAGCTTCCTTTTAAATAAAGCCCCATTTCCTTTCATTCATTCATTCATTCATACATACATTCATTCATCTAGTTAAAAAATATTTGTTAAGTACCAACTATGAACCAGTGCTATGCTAGATTCTTGGGTAAAAATAGTGATCAAGGGGCTTCCCTGGTGGCGCAGTGGTTGCGAGTCTGCCTGCCGATGCAGGGGACACGGGTTCGTGCCCCTGTCCGGGAGGATCCCACATGCCGCGGAGCGGCTGGGCCCGTGAGCCATGGCTGCTGAGCCTGCGCGTCCGGAGCCTGTGGTCCTCAACGGGAGAGGCCACAACAGTGAGAGGCCCACGTACTGCAAAAAAAAAAAAAAAATACACAATGATGCCTGTCCTTACAGAGCTTACATTCTATCAGGGATGACTGACAAGTTAAATAAGTTATTCTGATAAAGCTTGTGCTATGGGAGACCTCAACTAGTGCATGGACTAGGGAAGGTCTCTTGAAGCATGTTGTATTGAAGCTGAAAACAGAGGGCTGATTTGGACTTATCCATGTTGAAGAGGAGAGTGGAGGTGGTGATGGCAGTGTTGCAGACACTGAGAACCATATACATGAAGATCCAAAGGCAAGAGAGGATGGTGCATTTGAGGAACTAGAAAAGATCAGTAAGGCTGGCAAATGAACATAACAGGAGATGGAAGCAAGGGCCAGATCATGATGGGACTTGTAAACCATGGTAAGGAGTTTGAACAATATCTTTTTTTTTTTTTTTTTTTTTTTTTTTTGCGGTACGCAGGCCTCTCACTGTTGTGGCCTCTCCTGTTGCGGAGCACAGGTTCCGGACACGCAGGCTTAGCAGCCATGGCTCACGGGCCCAGCCGTTCCGCGGCATGTGGGATCTTCCCGGACCGGGGCACGAACCCACGTCCCCTGCATCGGCAGGCGGACTCTCAATGACTGCGCCACCAGGGAAGCCCTGAACAATATCTTAAGGTCGATGGAAAATGAATGAAAAGTTTTGAATAGGGGGAGGGACTTGTTCAGATTTGCATTGTAGAAAGATCCCTCTGACTGGGGTGGGGAGATGGAGGGGACAAGACTGAAAGGAAGGAAAACCAATTAAGAGGCTGCTGCTGGTTCCAAGCATTCTATTCCTCTGCAGGGGTTACCCTGACTACCAAATGAAATACATAATCCATAGCCTCAAAAAGGCACCAGAGCCCTCCCAACCTGCCTTCCACATTCCTTTCCAGCTTTATCTTTTCCTATAGGAAGTATATATCCTAGCCAAGCTTGGCTACTACCTGGTCCCCATACAAAGCTCGTCCTTTACCACATCTTAAGCCTGACCACTTCTGACCTAAGCACAGTACTTAGCTTGTTATACAAGCATTTATTTACTAACCACTGGGGCTGAATCTGTAGCCGTTAATGACTGCAGTATTCATTTGCCCTTTCCATATTTCGTGTAGCATTTGTACAGTCTTCAAGCTAAAAATGTTTTTCACGTTTGTAAAGTTTTCTATTAAAAAAAAAAAAACAACCCAACAGAGACCCTATGTGGTCCACAAAGCATAAAATATTTACTCTCTGGCCTTTCACAGAAAAAGTCTGCTGACCCTCTCTAGATTGTGAGAATAGCGAGGGGCTGTTAGGCAAGCAAGCATGTCACGTCTGCTCTCTCAATATCTACTAACTGATTGAAGTAATTAACTGCTTCTTTGGGTAAAGGTATTGATGATCCTTATTAAAAGACCCATGTGACTTGGGAAAGTTAACTTGTGCCATTACCAACCAATAATACTTGTCATTAATTTATCAGGTTTCAGATTCGCTTTAGGACAGGGCTGGGTCCTAATGAGACAAGAGTTAGGATTGGTAAGTTTTGATTATTAGAGGCAGAGGGAAAATATCCATTCTGAGTAGTTATCATAATGTTTTGAAACTTTCTATTACACCATGCTGCCTAGAATTCATAAAGATGCAGTGCAATAACCCCTGGAATACAAATAAGAAATATAATCATTGGAAATCGCAAGATAATATTTTGATTAGTTGCATAAAATTAAAAGTGTATTTTAAGATTTTATTTTGTATCCCCAATCTCTTCCAAAAGCAATTTTTAAAAAAACCTTTTTCTTGTTTTTAATTAATTGATTTATTTTTTGGCTGCGTTGGGTCTTGGTTGTGGTACGCGGGATTTTTGTTGAGGCATGCGGGCTTCTCTCTAGTTGTGGAGTGCAGGTTTTCTCTCTCATTGTGGTGCGCGGGTTCCAGAGTGCTTGGACTTCGTAGTTTGGGACACTCAGGCTCTCTCCTTGAGGCGCATGGGCTTAGTCGCCCTGTGGCATGTGGGATCTTATTTCCCAGACCAGGGATCGAACCCGTGTCCCCTGCATTGGAAGGCGGATTCTTTACCACTGGACCACCAGGGAAGTCCCAAGAGACCATTTTTTTTTCAAGCAGCAGAGCTCTGGTATCAGTGGGTATTAATTAGAAGGACAAATCAGAAATAAATTCAACTTGAAAAGAGAAAAAAAAGAAAGGAAAGAATGGAGATATGGTGGAATGGGTTGGGGAGAAGCTCTGATTAAGGAAAAGCTCTGATTAAGGCAAGTCACAAAAGTCATGTCATTGATTGAGAGGCATTATATGCAGTTATTCTATTTCTTTGGGTTTTCCT